GGCTTTGCATGTCAGTAATTTTCACTAATGGTAACTGGCCAAAAATCTTTCATGTTCATCATTTGCCAATGATTTAAGATTGAGTACTGGGATTTTCATAAAAGGACTAGAAGATGAACCATATGATCAAGTTTCTGTAGAATGCAGTGGTCCCTGCCTTTGATAAAATAAACTTATTTTGTGTGGTTTTTTTAAGTAGCCATACTAAGTCTGTGCTTGCTTATCACAAGGGACCTACTGAAATTGTGATTTTGTGGATTTTGCAAATTTTGCATTGCCCACTAAATCCATGAAAAACAAAAAAACTTACAGAAAATAAAATGCTGGTTCCCCAGAGGGAGCCAGCAGTCCTCAAGGTGCTGTGGCAGCCTGCTGGGGTGGGGAAGAGGGGTGGAGGGGATTCCCACTTGAAGGGCTACCGGTAAGATGTCTGTCACCTCTGCCCCTCATCACTGATCGGCTGCAAGGGCTGGATGTCATGTGGCTCTGCCTTTCTCCACCAATCAGGACAAGAAACTGGGCTGCATGATGGACATCCATTGCAGCCAATCAGCAGTGAGGAGCGGGGTTACATGACCGGCAGCCCTCATAGGCAATTGGTGAGAAGGGGCAGAGCCACAGGGGCCTCTTGGCCAATCAGAGACAGGTGCGGGGTGGCACTGTATTCTGTCTGTAAAATGACTGTTGAGGCCCGCATTTTGCCCTTGAAATCTGCAGGCGTGAATTAAGTAGGCCCCTACTTATCGTGGTTGCTAGCAAAGAACTTGTTACCGCATGGTAACCACCTGTCCTGTGCACTCCTGGTGCTGCACGGGTCATTTCTGACCCTACTGCACAGTAGCTTGGGCTATCACTCAGTAGCGGTGGTGTCACAGTTTGTGCTTGCCACTGCTACATTACTGTAGCAGCGAGCTACATTACCATAGCTCATCACTGCAGCAATGTAGCGGCTCATGTAGACGTGCCCAGTATGTGTGTCTCCTACAGAATTTATTTCATTTTGTTCAGTCATTCTCTTATAAAAGTGGCTTGTTTTATGTTGTACTTCTAATTGTTTGAGCTGGGGTCTGCAGCATATTTTCCTTAAAATCATGAACTCTAGTATATTTACTGGATGTGAAGGACCCCAGTTGGGGATGTCTGCAGCATACCAATGGGATGCCATTCTCCCTCTAGCCACATGGACAGTCAGCCTGTGGTTTCCTCTGTCCTGTTGTGTTGTGAATCTTATGTTACTCCATGGGGTAGAAATGAGATAAACATCATCTTCAATAACACTGTGTAGCCTTGCTGCTTTATGACTTTTTGGCCATGTGACATTGCAATGGAAACACATGGAGAAATGCAGAATTTGACATTCCCCAGGCTAACATAAGTGCAATCACCTTATGAATATGGCATTATTGGTGCACATTGAAACTGTGTTCCTGCTGTCTGATTGTCTTTCAATGGATTTTTTAAGTGTGTGGAAAATGAGGTACAGGTATCATAGGAAAGGGTTTAAATGATTTCCAGCATAGTTTTATTTATACAGTTTTCCCATCACACCGAGCTGAACTCTGAAGAGCCAAAGGAGAGAATGAAACGTGGATTCATGTGATGCCTGTGTATAGCTCACAGCTAGTAATTCCAGGTGAACTGTAAGATCCTTAACAGCACATCACGGCATTGGCTGTTGTGCTGAGAGAAACAATAAAGACAGAGAGAGATTTAGAGCAAATCTGGAGAGTTGTTTCTCCAGACAAACCCCATTATTTTTCTCCTCTGGTGAAATACAAAATGTTAGCCCTTGAGGTTTTGTGGGGTGGATAAAGTTTATTCATTTATCACCTTTTGAGCAGGATGAGTAAGTCAAAGGAGGTATTTTCCTCCTGTGACTTGATTAAGCCCATGTGCAATAAGTATCTTCCAAGGAACCGACTGTGGATGTAACAGTAAGGTTTAGGCTCCATCTATATGAGGCCCTAGTCCATCAGGAATCCCTAATGTAGGGCCTACCTCAGCCACTTACTTAAAGTTGATATAACTAAAGCTTTTGTTAATGTAGAAATGCAAATACCCATTCTGATCTCTTCATTGCCTATTTACCCTTTTCATTTATTCAGATTATATTTGTTTTCACATGTCTAATCTACATCATTTTAAATTATGACCTGTCCATGTGAACTGAGGGGAAATCAGAGATATGCTGCCAAGTTTTGGCATTTGGTACCTAGATAATTATGTTAGCAGCTCATTGCTGTCTAACAGTTACCAGCAGTGAATGACGTGTTGACCCTGTGAATTCCATGGCTCCTACTTTAAGCAAAATCCCAATAGAGGTCAATCAAAGTTTAGCCTGGATAAAGACTACAGACTTTGTCAGACAGCTTACACCCCAGGGTACTTAAGGAGCTGGCAAGCATCATAGCTCGGCCACTGGCACGGATCTTTGAGAACTCCTGGTGCTCAGGCGAAGTGCCCAAAGATTGGAAGAAGGCCAATGTGGTGTCTATCTTCAAAAAAGGGAGGAAAGTAGATCTGGGGAACTACAGGCCCATCAGCCTGACCTCTATCCCTGGGAAGATCTTGCAAAAAATCATCAAAGAGACCATTTTTGACAAACTGGCTGAAGGCAACTTCTTGAAGGATAGCCAGCATGGGTTTGTTGTGGATAGGCCTTGCCTGACCAATCTCAACTCCTTCTACTACCAGGTGACATATCACCTGGACAAGGGAGAAGAGATTGACGTCATATATCTTGACTTTAAAAAAGGTTTTGATCTGGTATCCCATGATCGTCTTATAGAAAAACTGGCCAACTGCGGCCTCGGCTACATCACAGTCTGCTGGCTGGGGAATTGGCTTCGTGGTCAGACCCAGAGTGTGGTAGTTGATGGAAGTCAATGATTGTGGTGTGCCGTGATCAGTGGGGTCCCCCAAGGCTCCATCCTTGGGCCTATCCTTTTCAACATCTTCATTAATGATGTGGACATTGGTATCAGAAGCGGACTGGCCAAATTTGCCGATGACACCAAACTTTGGGGAAAAGTGTCCACACCCGAGGACAGGATGGTGATCCAGGCTGACCTTGACAGGCTCAGAAAATGGGCGGATGAAAACCTGATGGCCTTCAACTCTGAAAAATGCGAAGTACTCCACCTTGGGAAAAAAACCTACAGCATGCTTATAGGCTTAGCAGTGCTATGCTTGCTAGCACCATGGCCGAAAGGCACTTGATTGACCACAAGATGAATATGAGCCACTGATGTGATGTTGCAGCTGGCAAAGCGAGCAAAACTGTGACTTACATCCATAGATGCTTTTCTAGGAAATCCCAGGATGTCATCCTCCCACTGTACTCGGCCTTGGTGAGGCCAGACCTGGAGTACTGCTCTGGGCTCCACAATTTAAAAAGCATGTGGAGAAGCTTGGGATAGTGCAGAGGAGAGCCATGTGCATGATCAGAGGGCAAGAGAACAGACCTTATGATGAGAGACTGAGAGCTACGGGACTCTTCAGCCTGGAAAAGCGCAGGCTCAGGGGGGACCTGGTGGCTACCTATAAGTATAGAAGGGTTGTGCATCAGGATCTGGGGGAACGTCTGTTCACCAGAGCGTCCCAAGGGATGACAAGGTCAAATGGTCACAAACTCCTTCAAGACCATTTCAGGCTGGACACAAGGAAGAACTTTTTTATAGTCTGAGCCCCCAAGATCTAGAACAGGCTGCAGCCAGAGGTGGTGCAAGCACCTACTCTGGACTCCTTTAAGAGTCAATTGTACATTTATCTTGCTGGGATCCTGCCCCTGGGGCAGGGGCTGGACTTGATGATTAAGAGGTCCCTTCCAGCCCTAATGTCTATGAAATCTATGACTTGGCCCCATAATTCATTTTCTGGCTCCAGGATCAACTGTTGACGTGATGCGCAACGGAGATACATTTGTTGTCAAATGCATGAAATATTATTAAAGCTAGGCTGGATCTGGACCAGATGGCTACCCATGGGCAAGATCCAGCATGGGGCAGCCACCGTAGTCACTGCAGCAGCTGTGGGTCCAGCAGCAGTGAGGGCTCTGGAGGAGGCAGTGGTGAGTCTGGAAGTGGTAAGGGGTTTGGAGGAGATGGCAGTGGGACTGAAGGTGGTGAGGGGGGTCCAGAGGTAGAAGCAAAAGGGGTTTGGTGGCAGTGGTGGATCTGGAACTGGGTTCAGAGGTCTGCGGGGCACCAACAGCAGGCCAAACTTGCTGCAGATGGCCAAAGTTAGGGAGGTCAAAATAACCCAAATTCTGCACCAGGCCACGCCCCCAACTTTCAGTGGCCTACCAGTGGCCCAGTGGGCCAGATCGAGAGGCTTTGTGGGCCAGATGTGGCCCATGGGCCATGTTTGACACCCCTGCTTGGAAAAAGGAAAGCAAATGAACAGGGTATATCTAGCCACCTGTCCCCTGCTCATGAGCTTTCCTAGCATCCACCATCATTGCTTTAGAGATGCCAGAGGATACATCCTTCACTGTTCTGTTTAATAGCTACTAATAGATCTGGCATCCATGAAATAGCCTTAGTCCCTTTTTGAACCTGGGTGTAGTATCTGCCTCTACAAGCTCCTATGGTAATGAGTTCCACAAGTCAACTATGCGTGGAGTAAAAAGGTGTGCAAGGCAAAAAAAGAATGAATGTGGGGGAGACACAGAGAGACTTCATGGTTTGCCTGAAGTCACACAATATGTGAGCAGAGCAGAGGGGGAGTAGAGATACTGCTCAGCTATATTACAGTGAGGACCATATCAGTACCTACATAGCTCAGTAGAGAAAGCCATTAAATAAGTTTCAACTAGTCAGTTGGGGCTTCTGAAACCAAGCTGAGCAATTTGAAATAGGTTTTGACATGGAAGCCAGGAGCCAGTGGAACAAAGATAGAAGGGGGTGATGCTCTCTACACATGAGCAAAGGTTTTATAGCAATTCCTGGTGGCAGCTGCAATCTGTTATGTACTCTCTTGTTTTGCTTTTTAGACGCAAATCTGGACATAAGGAGCATGACTTCAAATCACAGCAGTTCACCCCAGGATGAATATCTCCCTCACTACATTCGGGATGAAGACCCTTTCACATCAAAGCTCTCTAAGGAAGCTGATATAGCAGCTGGATTTTATTTAACCATCGTTGGTAAGTGTCTTCAATTATTCATTGGAAGGTGTGCAAGCCACAGTGCTGTTTGTCAGGCAGCTGCAGAAAAAGCTGTAACAAGAAAAGATTGTGATGGGTCATGCAATGGAAAGAAAGATGTGGTGGGATGGTGGCTTAACACTTTTGTATCAGGAAAGTGAGTATTTCATAGACATTAGGGCTTGGAAGGGACCTTGCGAGATCATCGGGTCCAGTCCCCCTGCCCAAAGGGCGGAGAGTCAGCCGGGGTCAGCAGTTTTTTGAAGGTATCCACCATTTTGCCCAATGCTCGCACCATTTTTGGGGGGAGTCTATTCCAGATTCTGGAGACTCGGATGGTAAAGAAGTTTTTCCTTATGTCCAGTCTAAAGCCGTTTTCCAGCAGTTCGTGACCATTAGACCTTGTCTTCCCTTGGGGCACTCTGGTGAACAGACTTTCTCCCAGTTCCTGATGCATCCCTGTTATATACTTTTAGGCTGTCACCAAGCCCCCCCTGAGCCTTCTCTTCTCCAGGCTGAAGAGTCCCATGCCTTTCAGCCTTTCCTCATAAGGCCTGTTCTCTTGACCTCTAATCATGCGTGTGGCTCTCCTCTGGACTCTCTCAAGTTTCTCCACATCTTTTCTAAAGTGTGAAGCCCAGAATTGGACTCAGTACTTCAGCTGCGGTCTCACCAAGGCTGAGTAAAGTAGGAGGATGACTTCTTGGGTCTTGTTTGAGATGCATCAGTAGATGCAAACCAGAGTTTTATTTGCTTTGCTGGCTGCGGCATCACTTTGGTGGCCCATGCTCATCCTGTGATCAATCATGGCCCCCAAGTCTCTTTTGTTCATGGTGCTAGTGAGTGTAGCACTGCTGAGCCTATAAGTATGATGTGGTTTTTTTCTCCCGAGGTGGAGCACCTTGCATTTCCCTGTGGTGAATATCATCAGGTTTTGATCTGCTCACCTTGTGAGCCTGTCCAGGTTGGCCTGAATCACCAGACTATCCTCTAGTGTGACCGCATTTCCCCATAGTTTGGTGTTATCTGCAAACTTAGCCAGTCTGCTTCTGAAACCAGATAATTTGTGAATATATTAAAGAGTAATGGTCCAAGTACTGACCCTGGGGGACTCCACTGGTCACCAGGTGCCATGTTGACTCAGTTCCATCGACTATCACTCTCTGGGTCCGACCACGGAGCCAGTTCCTCAGCCACTGGACTGTAAGGTTGTTGAGTCCACAGTTGCCCAATTTCACCATGAGGACATCATGGGAGACCAAGTATTGCTGTAATGTGTCAGGCCAGTGGTCCATCCAGGCCAGTAGCCTGCTGTAGACAGCAGTCCTCCCTAGATACTTCAGAGAAAAGTGCAAGAAATCTCTTGATGAACAGTTGTTTGCTAACCTGCTCACAGGAGTGCTCCAGCACCTGTGCTTGCCCCAGCTGTATAAAAATCTGCCCTGGTGAGCAGCTCAGGGCTACTTGCTCTCAGGAGCTTTTGGGGCCCAGCCAATTTGTATCTGAGGACACTAGCCCCTTGTGCCAGCTGGACTGCTGAAGCAGCCCTAACCTACAGTGACCCTTGCACCCTCTACCCACTGCAGCAGTCTGGCAGTGGAGGCTGCTGCCTGGCTGTGACCTGCTGCCACCTGCAACAGCATGCAGCCCAACGGCTGTGTGCCTGCCAGACCCAGACGAGGACTACAGAGCTGCCTGGGCTGTGGTGTGGGCACTGTAGGAGAGCCTCCTGCACCTCTGGACCAGCTGCCAGTGGGCCGTGTCTGCACAGTTGGCCTTTGTGCTGCACCGCTGTCATATCTTCTGGTGCTCCTCACTGCCATCTGGGCAACTATCGCCCAGCAGATGGGCTCATTGCAGAGGCCCTGCTTTGAACTGTGAAAGCATGCCCTTCTGGCCCCAAATGGCCAGGTCAGCCAACTTGTCTGCCCTCCGGCTGGGTCCCTGGTGCTGGCTCTGGGCAGGCTCCTCTGCCTGGGTCTCGCAACTTGTCTCACTATTAGAGATCCTGGGGTTCCCTGTTTAAAAATTGCAAATTCTGATAAAAAACCCAAATTCTCTCATTAAAATACCCCAAATCTGGGTTCTTCTCTGATTCAAATGAAACTCCACTATATAGAGAGGATCAGTTGGGCAAAGTTTTATTGATATATTTACCATTTTAAAGCAATTTGGCATCCTACCAGTGCCACTATCATCATAATAAAAATTCTAAATATTTATACACTGTGGCATTTGCTTTTGGGTTTTTTAACATAGAAAAATCAGAGCTGCCCCTGCCCACTTTGCTCACCAGGAGGTGGAGAACTGCCCTGCCCTTGCCCCTCACTCCTGACCCACAGCCCCTGCCTGCTCCCACTAGCTCCCTCCTGGCAGCAACTCTGTCCCAGCACCAGGACATGGGTCCAGTTGCAGCTGTCTCACCGGCTGCATTGTGGCTCTGAGCTGTTCTGCTCCTTGTGCCTGTGCCCAGGCCCCAGTGGTCGCCATGCCATTCCCGGGAAGTCCTTGACTGGGGCTTAGGGATTGGGTTGGGCAAGACCCTTCTGCTCCAGGCTGGCCTCCCTCTGCACAGGCTGCTCTAGCCTGGCTCTGGCAGCCTGTCCTACCCAGAGTGCCCCCCATCTCCAAACCCCATCTCTACCCTCAGCCTGTCACACCCCCAAGAGTTTCCTGGGACCAGGAGCCTCCCCAGGCTGGGTCCACATAGTTTCATGGCCCGTCACTGGTGTGAGCTGGGGCAGGGCTGCAGCGTGGCAGTTGCCCCTGCAGCCGCAGGTCCCACCAGCCGGTCCTGTCCCATCCCATATGGCTGGCTGAGCACATAGGGTGTGAGATTTGTGGGGGGGATGTGGGTCAGGGCCTGGGTCATGCCGCAGTCTTGCTCTGCTTCTGTTTGCCCTGCAGGATTAGGCAGCATGCTGGGGCAGCAGGGGCACCATAGCAATGCTCTGGCCAGATGCCAAAGCGTCTCTGGAGGACCCAGTCTCCACTTGCTTTGTGCCCTGCACTACTTTTTTTCTGGGTGTTTTTTCTTTCATACCTGGAAATCCAGGTATCAAATTTAGAGCCTGTGCTGCAAATAGGCAGCGTGGGGAACATTTTTTCATTCTTAGTGTTCCTTTTGCGGCTGGCTTGACAACAGGCACGTGCATGCTAGTCGGGAAGTGTCCATTGGGATCAAGCACTTTGCATGCCCTCAAAAAATGGGAGCATGCTGACAAAAGCACATCATTTTTTAACAAGAGCACTGGCATGCACGTACTTTGTAATTTTGCTTCTGAGTTCAGTGTTGCCTTTCTTGGCAAACAAGCATTTATTTGTTTGACTGTCAGGCTCTGCCCAGTTGGCAAGCTCAGTTTAATTATTTGCCACCTTATTTGCTTGTGTTTCTGGCGGGGGCGGTTTATAGAAGATAAGAGCTAATGTCATTTTTTGGAGCAAATGTTTTTGTTGCTTAAATATTTGTATTGTTTTTGGCCATGTGTACAGACAGATCTTACCCTTAGCGGCTGAACCACAATTTTGCTTGTGATCTTCTGCAAAAATTCCACTAATCTTCAAAGTAACTGGAGTGAAAATTGGTGGCTTCAGGGAAACTTCCCCACCTTGTGATTTCTTGTGAGGGTGATATTGTGGGCACTTTTCCTTTTGCCTGGAGACAGATGAAACCATATCTTGCAGATAGGGAAGGCCCATTTATCTGTCCTAACAAATTCATTAACACTTATTAGAGTGTTTCTTCATATATCCTAGCTAAACTGAAAAAATGCCATGCAAGTCACGTGCATGGTATTCAGAAAGCAGTGCTTTGAGACTCTGTTCCCACTTTTTTGTTATGTATGCAGCCTTGTTGTTGCCAAAGCTGTAGTTCTTTAAAGGAACTCCAGATTTCTGTACTGTTCTTACCACTTTCTTACTCACAGTTCTGAAGTTGATGGTTTTGAAACAAAAGACCATCTCGTAGAAGAGATTTGAGTTCCAAACTCCCCACCATTAGCTGTTGTGACGTTTCCATAGAACAATAATACAGTGGCCCTCAAGATTTGTCATCTCATTTGTAACAAGATTAAACCAAGAGTGTCTTTAAGCAGCTCTTCCAAGTCACTTCCATGACTTTCAGAAGGCTTTGATAAGTACATTTTCCACAATTGATCTGAACAAAGTGCGATCCCCATGTTTTTCAAAGAGCATCCAATTAGCTTTTCATAGCAGTCTTCTCTAGAGCTGGTTACAGACATGGGAAAAAACAAAACAAGGAGAACAAGGAGGTGGCTATACCCTCTTCTGGAGGGGTAAACAGGAAGGAGAACAGCAACTTTACAGAGTTGGCTTTGCCATTAAGAATGAACTCATAGACCAGCTCAATGAGTTCCCTATCAGAATGACTGAGCACCCCATGACTCTCCACCTTAAATTGGCAGGGAGCCAATACACCACCGTTATCAACACGTGTACCCCAACTCTTGACGCCACTGCTGAAACAAAGGAGGAATTCTTTGCCAACCATGACCAAGTCCTCTGTGATGGTCTGGAGGGAAACAGAGTTATTCTGCTCAGCAATTTCAATACCAGAGTCAGAAGGGACTCAAATCTCTGGAATGGAGAAATCAGCAAGGAAGGAGTGGGAAAGGTCAACTTTAACAACATCCTCCTCTTGAACAAGTGCGCAGAACATGGACTCGCCATCACCAACAACCTGTTTCATCAGAAAAACAGATACAATACGTCCTGGCTATAGACACAATCTAAGTATTGGCACTTGATTGACTATATCATTGTTCACACCCAGGATCGCAAAGATGCATGCATTACTTGAACTATGCTAGGACTCATCTGCTCAATTATGTTACTCAAATTGTCGTCCAAACGAAGTCTGCAACAGAAGCAATGCTGACAGAAGTTCAATGTCAAAGGACTCAAGGACCCAATCAAGTGATACCTCTTCCACCGGTGCCTCAATGAAAAGCTGGCGAATTCCAATCAACCACAATGGGACA